GGAGATGCTGGTCAAAAGATATTGACTTCCAGTTTTAAGATGAGTAAGTTCTAGAAATCTAATGTACAGCATGGTGACTACAGTGAACTCTACTGAATTATATACTTTAAGTTGTTAAGAGAGTAGATCTTAAATGTTATCACCACACACAAAAAAAATGGTAATTATATGAGGGAATGGAGGTGTTAACTAACTTATCATGGTAGTCATTTCACAATGTACGCATGTATTAAATCATGTCATACATGTTAAACTTGTACATGTTATATATCAATAAAGCTGCAAAATGTATATATTGCAAAAGAACACATCTTTGGTTGAATTGGGATGGGTGGCAGAGGTCAGAGGTGGGAGAAAGAGATGGGAGGGAATTTGGAGGCGTGATGGCTATGTTCATTATCTTGATTGTGGTAATGGTTTCAAGGGTGTGTACATGTGTCAAAACTTATCAAATTGTATATTTTGAATATGTACAATTTATTGTGAGTCAATTATACCTTAATAAAACTGCTTAAAACAAAGTCAATGGGGGAGTAGAGTTCTCCAGTTCTTCGCCTTCTGCACCTCTGTGTCCATAATTCAGGCCCTGAGGGAAACACTCACCGACCACATGGGCAAAGAAATTGAGATCATAAACAATTCAGTTTGATATGTATATAAATCAGTCCAAGTCTTGTTGGACCGGAGGGGAAAATTAAGGAAGAGATAACCCAGTGGATGATATGAACAGTCACTGCCGAGAGTTGGAAACATTACAGAGAAGAGACGAGAGGAGAGGGAAGGAGAGGGGAGGAGAGGGGAGGAGAGGTGAGTTTTAAGACTAGCACAAGCCCTTCCTCTCCATCTTTAAGCTACTTGTTTTTTCCCAATAAGCCAAGCCAATGTTTAACTTACCTCTGGTCAGTTGTCCCCCCGCCCCCGGCTGCCTCCTTGAGCACCTGGGCAGCCTGCCACAGGGACAAGGTCCACACCCACCAGGCAGAGACACAGGCCCTAAAAGTGGAGAAGAAGTGAGGGGCAAGATGGAGCCCAAGAGAGATGCAAGTACAGACTGGGGAGTCCTGTGAGACCCTTGCCTCTCTCCCCACCCACGCCCTGACACCACCATTAAAAGATGGGGTTAGTCCTGGAGACGGCAGCTGGTGTCAGTTACCTGCTGCTCCCCCCATGCCCACCATGTTCAGCTTCTTCCCAAAATTCTAAAGTGCCCTGGCATTCTTCCCCATGGAACGGGAGAGGCCACATGTCCACCCCAGAAAGGCGTCATTTTGCCGCCCTTCTCAGAAGCACACTCTATGGTGTCACCTGTAATGTCCCAGGTGACACTTTAAAAGACATAAACTGATGATAGTCCACAGGAGCCACACAGCAATGAGTGTACATCTATGGGTGCTGTAATCTACACTAATCTGTCCAGTACTGGGTGTTAAGTACTTAACTCAAAATGGTGCCAAACTGTCACATACTACTGTTATTCTTATGGAAGAAAAGGACTTCTTGTTTCTCTTTGTCCTTAATTATCTACAAACTGCATCAAGGAGAATAGTGTTCCTTGATGCCAGCTGCCACATAGTCCCCTTCACAGGGGTGTCCCCATGCTCTCTCCCTAGAGTTAGAGCTGAGGTTTGCTTCATTGCTGCCCTTCCCCGACAGCCCTTCAGCTCTAAGCGCCCTAGCTCTGCGGCGTCCAGCTGTGGCACACTCTGCTGTAGCCTAAGGGGGGTCTGCAGTCCCAGGTATTCTGGGTGTTGGACAACTCAGACTGCTGGCAACCAGGATCCAAGGAGCCAGAAAGGGTCCAGCTGAAAGGCCCGTGTTCTGAGGCACCCAGGATGTGGGTGTTCAGAGACAGAAGATGAGAAGGGAAGAGGGTGGGAAGTGGGGCCAGGAAGGCCACCACCTGTCCCCACATGAGGTGGCCTCCAGCTGGTGGCCTATGACTCGCAAAAACAAGAGTCTCAGCACAGGTAACAATTGTCTATGGTTTTCAGCATCGTGGACTTAGAAATTAAGTATAAAATGTCAGCAGATGGTTTGCTTTTGTCTGAACTGAGATTAGTAGGCAAGTAATTTCAATTCCCTCCTGGCCAATTCGAACTGTATTGCCAAAACCCTCTCCTACCACCTTCCCCACAGCGCGCCTCAGGTTATCCAGAGTCTCATCCCCGAGGCAGGAGCTTTAATGGGACAGGCCCTGGAGGGAAAAGCAAACATGATTTCCTTTTCCCTCCAGGGAGCTGAAGGTGGAGAGCTGGGGGAATAATTCAAATGTGCAACTTCTCAGCCCTGGCAGGTGGCTTGGTAGCTTGGAGCATCATCCTGTACACCAAAAGGCTGCAGGTTCCAACTCCAGTTGGAACCCGTATGGGAGGCAACCAATCAATGTCTCTGTCTCTCTCTCTCAAAAATAAATAAGTAAATATATCCTTAGGTGAGAATATTTTTAAAATGTGCAGCTTCTGAGAAACGTCACCAGGCACCACCTGTCCCCACCACCACTGGACACACAGGTACACAGTTACCACTATGCAGCACTCATACTGGCTTACTTCCCCATAGGAGGGAGGCTACAGAGAGAAGAGACAAACTTCACCTCCTACTGAGTTTTGCCTAAATAGCCCATATTTCCTATTTCCAATTCTTCTCTCTCCTATGATCTTAAACCCACTGCAACCAGTCTTTGCCCTCACACTCCACTGTAACTGTTCTGACAAAGTCACTAGTGACCTCCATACTGCCCAATCCAATAATCAATTCTCATTTCTCATCTTTCTTAAGCTACCTGTGGCTTTTGTTTAGTTCTCTCTCCCTCTTCCCTGTGAGTGTTGCTTTACTTACCCCCAAACATTTTATTTTCTTGATTTTTCTCCTGCTTCACTGGTTTCCCCTCCCGTGTCTCTTGTGGTAGTTCCTCGCCTTCTGCAAGATCTTTAAAGGTCCTTGCTCTCTTTCTTATGCCATCAAAGTCTAATGACTCTCAAACTTATATCAACAGTTCAGATCTTTTTCCCACCCCAACTCTAGACTTTACTGCTCCTGTCACTGGGCCTTTTACTTCCCCTTCTTCAGCCTAGTGGTTTTGCACTAGACCTGGAGATCACTCTACTCTCTCCCTCCTCTTCATGCCATTCCTGCTAATTCCCAGGCCAACCTTTGCCCAATTCCAGAGAAGCTTGGAGAAAGCTGCTCACTACCTAAGCTTTCTGCCACATGGGGCCCTAAGCTGGTTACTAGGTTCCAGATTCAGAGACTCAATGCCCAGCTTAGGCCCCCAGACTCCTCCTTCTCCTTCCACCAGCCCATCCCTCTACCCTATCCTCTGAAGGGACAGTGTTCAGGCCTAAATTCCTAAACGAACACGTGGGGTGTCCAGGGCTAGGCCAAAAGTAAAAAGACCTCCCTCTTCTTTCACAATGCAGCCTGAACAAAGTTCTGTGATTTCAGGCTGCTGGCCAGAAGTTCCTGGAGAGAAAAGACATATCAGCGCTTCCTACTCCTCTGGAAAAACACAAGTTGACCTGCAGTCCCAGAGCCAGTCCCCAATTGCCGCAACCCTGAGAAGAACACCATGGACTCAGCATCTCTCTGTGCACTCCTCCATTCTTCCCACCTCCACTCTGTGTTGTAGGTTTTCACTCTCTCTAAAACCATTGTGAGATGAGCTTGATGCATTTTGGAGGCTTCTACTCCCCTGCAAAAGGGAGATTTTCCAATGAATGCATAAATAAGTAGAACAATAAAAAATAGACGTTTTGCCCTTATCTGTGTGACTTGGTTGGTTGATTGTCGTCCTGCAAAGCGAAAGGTTGCAGGTTTGATTCCTAGTCAGGGCACACGCCTGGTTTGTGGGTCCAGTCCTGGCTGGGGCTCGTGTGCGAGGCAACTGGTGGATATTTCTCTCACCCAATGTTTCTCTCCCTCTCTTTCTCCCTTTCTTCCCATCTATAAAAATAAGTAAATAAAATCTTTTTAAAAGTTGATGTCTCTCTCTCTTAAATCAATCAATAAAAAATTTTGAGAAAAGGGGGAGGCATTGCATTAAGGTATTCTCTATCCCTGTGACCCATAAAATTACTACTTCCCTCAGCATCTTCCCCAGTGACCTGCCTCTGTGTTTCTCCTTCCTCCAGCCTTGACTGCAGCCTCACTTCAAAACCAGACCTGGGAGCCCAACTATCAACAAGGAGACCTTCCCAACCCACTGCTCAGCCACAACCCTCAGTACCTGTGAAGGCCCTCTGGGGCTTCCCACAGCAGTGATCTGGGATTCCTTGAAAGTAAGTGTAGGAAAATTACCACCACTGCTGTGGGGGTAGCAAAGTTACCCCAGGGGTGAGAATGGAGGAGAATGAGAAGCCAACAAAGAACCAGAGGTAAAGAGTTAGAATTAGTGCTCCACACATACATTTCCAGTGGGAAATGTATAAAAGAAGAACCGCTGGTATCAAAGGTTACGACGCTGGTAGGGTTAGGTAGTGACGGCTTAGGGAAAGTCACGGCACCAGAGACCAGGAGGAAGACACAAATCCACAGCTAAGGAATCTCAAGACCATGGGGCAGTTTGCTGTCAATATCATTTTCAACATAGCTACCATTTATTCAGCACTTTACATACATTATCTCTAATCCTTACAACATCCTTAAAAGGCAGGTATTACTATCTCAATTCACAGGAGCAGCAGTTGAGGCTCTGAGGAGTCAAGCAACTTGCCCAAGGTTATGCAGAGAGTACCTAGCAGAGCCCGAATCCAAACTCTAATCCATCGGGTTTCAGGCCTGCACTCACTTTCTGTGAACCACGCTATAAGAGAAAACCCCCCCCCGGGGAAGCCATGTGATCTGTCTCAGTCTCCTGCAGTGTTGTCCTTAACGACATCTAAGGAAGGGTCTTTCCAGTTCCAGTATTTTATGTGTCAATGGGACTCCCCAGGGAGGTAGTAAGTGCAGGACGTGGAGGAATCCTCCTTCCAAGGGATGGTGGGCGGTGCAGTGGCTCTCACCTCCCCCATTTTTGTAGCAGAGATAGGGAAACCTCCAGACGTTGCCCAGGCCAATGATCTCCCCGGCCACAGACAGCACAAACTCCATCTTATTGTTCCAGTGCCCCCGCTCCAGGGTGCCACCTTCTTCCGCCTTTTCCATGCCTGGGTACACTGGTTTTGTCTTTCCATTACTGGCTGTGCCCGAGACCCGGCTATCCATCCCACCTGGAAAACAAGCAGGGCGCTCTGTCACTGCTGGGAACTCAGGAAGGGCAGCCCTTCCCCATCCTTCACCAGGAAATGTCCACAGGAATAAATGCACTGGAAGAGAGTGAATTCCTCTTCCCCTGCCTGCAGACCCCTGCCCTCCTTAGCACTTCTTATTGATAGAGGCTGGGTGACAGCTGCTGAAAATATATATTCCTTTCCTGTTTCAGGGAGAAAGATTGATACTGGAGTATAGATGTTGCTTCCACTACACATTCTCTCGGATTGGGGTTGTGGACATGGAAGGATTCCCACAGGCTCGGGACTGCCTGAATTCCCCCTGACACCCCACAACTAGCCTTGCCTGCAGTAGCATGTGTTGAAGTTTCTCCATTCTGTATGCTGGGGGCCACTGAAGGGATGGGATTTTTATAAATCCTCAAGGCCACCAATTTCCATTGCAGGAATTTATTCTAAGGAAATAATTGTGACTGTGGGTAAAGATTTGGCCTTGAAGATGTCCATTGCTTATAACAGCAAAAAATTAGAAATGTTCGAAATGACAAATAGATTAATTAATTAAGCTAAGGCACATATACACAATGTACTACTATATAACCATTAAAAATTGTGTTGCAGAAGAAAGTGTAATGAATGAAGTGGAGTTCCTAAGATGTGAAGCGAAGACAGTTATAAGACAGGACATACAATATGATTAGGCTGGAAAAATATTTTATATTTATATGCATTGAAAGATTAGGATGTTCAGCAAAATGTTTTTCTCTCAGTGGTTGGAATATAGAAATATTTTTCTTATCTATATTTTCTATACATTTATCAAAGAATATGTTATATTTTGTAATATGAAAATAAAAGCCAGTTTAAAACAAAATCCTTCCAAAGCAATGAGAGAGGTTGAGTGGGACCAGGAGCTCTGAATAAAATGAGCTGACCTTCCTAGCTACTCCCTCCAGCTCTCTCTGAAATCAGCATAAGAGAAAGACAAATTCAGGGCTCTTTTCTTTTTTGGTGTTGACAAATGTAGGAAACTTACAGTAGAGAAGACAACACAAAATGAATAAAGAACAATTCTAAACGCTTCATTGTCCTATTCTAGACTCTCATGGGATTGAAGATAAGACTGGATGTGACTCACATTTAGCGAGTAACTACTATGGACTAAGCATTTTACATACATTTTTTTTTTCATTTAATCTATACAACAACCCTGAGATGTAAGCAGTATTACCTCTGCTTTGTAAATGAAGAGACGGAGGCTCAGAGAGGTTAAACAACATCTGCTGCCATACAGCTAATAAATGGCACAGCCAGGACTTGAACTCACTCTGTTCCTATTCTTTCAATTATATCCCTTGGTCACGTTGGCTGCCTAGGTTTATCAGCATGTCTAATATAAGCATCTTCTAACGACTCTCCCCTGATTGTATACAGTAGTCCCTGTTCTGGAAAAGTGGACAAATAAACTTTTTTCTACATCTCAAGAAAAATTCATGTTAACAGAACTTACTCAGCAGGAGCCCCATCCGGGCACAGGCTCTCCTGGAGCCCAGCCGCCCCAGCTGAGCTACCCAAGGGATCCAGAATGTCAGGGAAGAGTAGGCACCTTGGCTTACTTGATAAATTAGGGAATGAACTCCACATGTGGGCTAAGAAGGAAACGCCCAAGCAGCTGTTTCCAAGGACTCCTCAGTCCTTCAGAGAAGGTTGCTGATGTCTTGTGCGGGTTCTGGCCCTCCCTTTGGCGTCTGGTGGCTGTATTCCAATGACGGCACACCATCTCCCTTCACTTCTTCATCCCCGCAGGCTCCAGGAGAAACACTGTCCCTATCCAGTCTGGGCCGTTCGGCCTCGTTAGAGCACCGCTTCTCAGAGGCAGCATCATGCAGTTGAAATGACGTGAGGTATAGAGTCAAACAAGCCTGACTTCAGATTTTTGCTTTGTGTCCTGCCACTCACTGCCTGACTTCAGAAAAAAAATAATTACTTTGAAACTTAGTTTCTCATCTGTAAAAGTGAAAATTGATAGGATATACTTAGCTATAAGGATGAAATGACTATATATATGAAAGCACTTAGTAGAATCACAGACATTCAAATTTTTATTTTCATCAATCATGTCAACATTTCTTTGTCCTTTCAATCTTATCTTGTTTCACAGAGAAGCCTTCATTTTCTTAGAATTAATCCCAAATGTCTTTCCTCTCAATCTAGGATAATTTTTCTCCAAATCACATTGTCCCTTAAGTCAACAGCCACTGAAGTTTCATGAAGTAAAGAAAATAGTGTATACTCTCTGCATATGTACACATAAATGTCAGAAATATTTTCTAGGAGAGCATCAAAATATCTTTTCTTTGTAAGTCCTGTGGACCCCACCAAACAGAAAAAGAAGAGAAGAAAATGTTACCAACCTGCTTGAAGTTGCTGCCAGAGGTCCAGAGAGGGGAAGAATTATCTAAGAGGGAAGAGGAAGGTGCTGCCTATTTAAAGTGTGGTTCCAACTCCCCTGTAGCAATTGTAATTCTAAACTTGGCCCAGCCCACATTCCACCCTCCTGCCCGCCCCCCAACTCTCTCCCCTCCCATGGCACAGACAACTCACATGTGAGAGATTTCACAGCCTCGTGAGTGTGTGCACCCTGGCAGGTCAAGCCAGTAGGCCTATGCGCCACTGGCTCTCCTCCCTGCAGCTCACATACGCTTCCTTCTCGGTGACCTCAGGGTCTCTGCCTCCCACCCCTTTGTCCAACTCAAGTGCTCCCATAAATCCATCAACAATAGGTGTTTTCTTGGTCAGGTCTGTGTAGATTAACTTAAAAATACATTTATCCTACCATTTGCAGCTTACAGCTTGGAATGGACAATGATTTAGAATAAAGACACATAGATTATGGAACTCTTAAGTAAAATGAGAAAAGTTTCCTAAAAACACGCACATATTTGTATACATATAGAAAAGTCTGAGGAAATATTCATGAAATGGTTCATAGTAGTTACCTTTGGAGAGCAGGGTTGGAGTCAGGAATGAAGTAAAGAGACGTTTTTCACTTCTGCTTTTTAAGTTTCAGTATTGTTCGACTTTCTAAATAATGTGCTAGAATTGATTTTTAAATGCTTTCAAACCAATAAAGAGAAGGAAGCGCCAATGTTTAAAACAAAACAAAGCCCTAAACCCATCCTTACTGAGGAGGTGTCTGTGAAGAGGTGGCGGAGGTAGTGGGGGGGCTGGGTTCCGAGGCAGCAGCAGCCCAGGAGGCAGCTGCAGTGAGCGTCATTCCTTTCAGCTGGAGCCAGCCCGGAGGGCCGGGGGCAGAGCCCGCTGGCCAAGGTGAAGTGCAGTGGCAAGCTGCTTAGGCTGTGAAGCCAGCAGATCCAGGCAGGGACTGCTGAGTCCTGCTTCTGTCACCTTCCAGTATGTGGCCTTGAGCAAGGTGTTCAACTTCTGCCAGTCTCGTTGCCTCATCTACAGAAAAGGCAGACTAGTCCTTATCTTGCAAGGCTGTGTGAGGTTTCAGGAGATAATGTGTACTATGCATAAAGGGCCTGACACAGAGCAAGCCCTCAAAAGGAAGCTATTATTTATCCTTAAGGAATTATTCACAGCGAGCAGGGAAGATTTCCTGAAGGGGATGGGAGACCCCAGAGGAAAGATGGGCTCAGGCTGGCCAGTAAGAATGAGTCAGAGTGTAGAGGGTGAGAGTCGGGATGGGGAGGGGGCTAAATGGGCTGAGAACAATGTGCCAGAAAGGACCCGGAAGAGTGGGAAGGAGGGTAAAGCAGGGAGTCTAAGGGAGTTTCCCTCTCTCACCCCTCATCCATCTCCAGGCATGGAAGCAGGGACGGGAAGCACATCATGATAACACAGAGCGGGGCCTGGTGGAGTTTATTATTCTCATGTTTCGGCTGCCCCTTTTCCTGTCCCCTCCTAACAATCCATCCATCTGATTTAACTGTGTAAAATAAAGCAACAGATGAAAAGGGTCCTCCGAGAGAGGCCGCAAATTCATTCAAAACAGTCCATCTTCAAAGGCAATGTTATTAAGCTTCCATTTTTACTTACCAGTGGGTGGTACTTTTTAATGACCTATTATTTGACCTACTAAGCACTGGAAACTCTGATACTTGTAATCGGAAATTACCAGATAACTGAGGACTCAGGTTCAGCACTCTAAGAAGTTGGGACACCACACAGCCTCTGGCGACGGTGCTCGGCCGCTCCTGGGTCCACGCGTGCCAGCGGTTGGAATCTCCAGCTTCCAGGAACGCCCCGGTGGTCACCAGGCACCGTCAGGATCCCCCTGAGTTGGTTTTGAGTTGCCGCTCTAGTATTAAGGAATGTTTGGTTTTACCTGTTGGTCTTACTGGTTTTTTTTTAACATAAGTGCTGCCAGATTACCATTTTGATTGTTATTTTATTTCTCTCCAAATCCTTGTTATCCCCAATTTCTTTTTCTCTGTAACATAGAAATGGATGTGGTAGGTGTTTTGCCCTGTGTAGACTGACCACAGTTTAAAAGTTTGAGAATCATCAGTAGATGAGTATTCGTGCAGTTCGTCATTAGTGCAGTCCCTGTCTGAGGTTTAGCGCAATCAGACAGGACTAGCCTTACAGGTACCTCCTGCCACCGTCGTCCGTTGGTCTCCTGGGTACAGAATCAGAAAACCTGGGAACAGCTTACAATAGAATCAATATTCAAGAGTTCTCATTCAAGAGGCTGCATAAATTTTAAGATTCCCTGGGGATTATTAGAAAAGATAACTGAAGGCTGTGCTCCCCAAACATACATGTGAAAAAAAAGTGAGCCATGGAAAAAGCAGGCTACGAAGTCTGGTTCCTATCAAATTAACCCTGGGCATATTTAAATGGCCATATGCTATGATCCACTCTCCTGGCAAGTTTTTATCTCTCCTAGGGGTGGAACAAGTGAAGAAGGAGCATGATTCATTTCAAAAAGAGTATTTCTGAGTAACATCAGCAGTGGGCTCCTCTCCT